AATGTTACTGTATTTTCCAAAATACTAGTCAACTAAAACACAGCCAAGACAAGTTACTTTGTACAGACCAAAAGGCAGTTTTGTATTATTTGATACAGTAACATGAGTGCACGAGCCACGTCATTGTAACTTGTATATTGTTAGCCACGCATGGCTGAGAGCTCAATATAATAAAAATAATAAATATATATAAATGTATAATGTTATGAGATTTAAGCTATATCGTCTAAACGTTTATGTTTTCGTGTTATAATTTGTGTTCATTCTAGAATGAAAGAGGCATAACTTATATTTACTTCCTAATTTTTTATGGTGGTTGCGAGATCGGTCAAATTTGCCAAACCTGTAGAGAGATTAATTATTGAAAATAACAGATAAACTATATAGATTTTTCTTAAGAAATGTTTGATAACTATCTAGACATTACAAAAATTTTGCATGTGAAATTTCAAAATTTTCTTGTGCATAAAAGTATTTTTAATATTAAAATGAAAATTACTTTGAATGATAGATAGGCAATATGTGAAAAGAAAAGAAAAGGCAGGAGAGAAACATTGCTTTACAAACCTTAAGACTTAATAAATAAATTTAATAATTTGTGTACGAAAGCATTGTAATGTTTACTGATAAACTGCCAAATTTCATTAACATTCGCTTAGTAATTTAAAAGTTATAGTATGAAAACTATAACAAGCACAAGATGGTTACAAGGTTGGTCCCAGGGACCAAGCCTGGGTTGAAAGAGTTAAGATATCCACATTTAACATATGCTACAGCAGAAAACAGCAACAGGAAAGGAGAGTGAAATACAAAATCAACATATGTTTAACATAAATAAACAAGTTTAATCTACAATACAATCAAAGACACATTTATTTAGGCAAGATATTTACCAAATGGGTAACAGTTGATATAAAGGAACACTGAAACATAAACATTTGGTTGATTACGTGAAATCTATCTGTATGAAGACCTTATACAGAAACAATAAGGCTTGGAGACAGAGAGTCCTGAATATGACACCAATGTGGCTAATGATGAGCAAAGTCTCACACACCATTATCCTATGGTGGATAATGAATAGTAGAGCCACAGCAACAACCGTAAACATCTTTAATGAACATTCCAGAATTATACATATTCTACCTTCATCAAATCTATGATAATAATGAAAAGAGCAATCTTTAGCATAATTACTAATATAAAAATACAATGAATAGTGTTAGAAAATTATAAAATATTCAATTTCAAAGGGAGAGAGAGCTATGTGAATAAAGCAAGAGGGGAAGAGTTGCATTTTCATTCATAATATGTAGCCTTTCTTTTATGAACAGTATATCAATAAGTTAGAATTGAAATGGGGTGTGATGATGTTTCATTGTGAGAATATATAGAAAAGTTCGGTAGAGTTTGAAGTCCAAAATCATTCAAACTAAACTTCACAGGGCCTAATCGATGTGCTCTAACTAACTTCACAGGGCCTAATCGATGTGCTCTAACTAACTTCACAGGGCCTATTCGATGTGCTCTAACTAACTTCACAGAGCCTAATCGATGTGCTCTAACTAACTTCACAGGGCCTAATCGATGTGCTCTAACAAACTTCACAAGGCCTAATCGATGGGCTCTAACTAACTTCACAGGGCCTATTCGATGTGCTCTAACTAACTTCACAGGGCCTAATCGATGTGCTCTAACTAACTTCACAGGGCCTATTCGATGTGCTCTAACTAACTTCACAGGGCCTAA